CGACGATGCCGCTCCTGCTGGATCTCAATGGAAAGTAACTTGCATACTTGTTTAATTACAACGAGGCAATGGTACCCCGTGTACTGAAGACAGGACTGAAATACATGTGTCTCATCCTGGGAAGACTGTGACGTGGAACAAATAATGCTGGAGTGTGTCCGATGCAAGTATCTGCTGAGTATGTTCATCATTATGGATATAACAGAACTGTGCTGTGAGGTACCTTCTGCGTTGGACCTGCAGTTGAGTCACTTCTCTTCTTACAAATTCCATACAATGGTCACAAGGATTCTTGGAGCATCATCAAACGGTGCATTCACCTTGAATGTGACAGGCGCGTGCTCGGCGATGGGCACGGGGGGCACGTGCACCCCCCAACAATTTTCAATCCGGGTAATTGCAATTGTAATGTATGCAAATATGCTCTAAAATTCAAGAAAGTTTGCAAAAAAACTGCAGAAAACTGCCGGGGGGGGGAGCTCCCCTCGGCTCCCGTGCACCCCCCTAGTTGGGGGGCCGAGCACGCCCCTGTGTGACCTCATCATATACTGGCACGAGCGTACAAGTGGCTACATTTCAAATGTGAACAGGCGATGGCGTCGTGTGGCGACGAACACAACCGCAGCTTTTCAAATTTCAGCATTTCAAACACTATGTTTCCGATGATAACTCACCGAATGGCTCACATGACGGAGTTGGGCTTTACCAGCCTAGGATTATCATTTGCTGTATTTATGGATAGTCCTTGAGTTGAGACGAGAGTTGCTGTTACTCATGAGCTACTGAAGTGAAGACAGTGAAGGCACTCACTTTGCGCAATTCCTCTCTTCTCTATATTACTAGTACATACACACATAGGAGATCCCCCAGATAGGCATTAGCCTTTGGGTAATCCTGAAACGAGAGACCTTGGAAGCTCAGGGCCCTATGCTATGCTTTTTTGCCTTGATGACCTAGACAAGAAGAGCTTAGAGATGTTATAAATTCTTATAGATTTCTACTTTTTGTTTTTAAACATAACCTGGGATTCGAACCCGCACTATCGCCCTGCATGCATCCCCCGATATACTTCGCATACATACTAATTCTTCCAAGTTGCTTCACGTTATGATCTTGTATTTGAAAGCCCTATTTGAATATACATTGTGGCCAGCCGTCTTTGATTGTACGGTACGGTACGGGACAGGTACGGTCGAGGGTAATACGACACCATCTACCGCCTTGATGACGGCAAAAAAATAATAGGGATGTTATAAATTTTTCAATTTTCCTTTTTTTTTCAGGCATTTACCTGGGATTCGAACCCGCACTATCGCCCTACATGCATTCCCCCATACACTTCGCATTTATACTCATTCTTCCAAGTTGCTTCACGTTATGATCTTGCGTTTGAAAGCCCTATTTGAATAGTGCGGCCAAGTGTATGTGGCCAGCTGTGTTCGATGGTACGGTGCGGGACAGATACGGGATAGCGCCAGGCGTGACACAAACACACAAACAAACAAACACCAAATTAAAGCTGTGTGGACCCTGGCTAGCGCCAGACGTTAAGGGCCTGGTCAGACTGCGGCAAATTTTGGTTGCCTCACGAAAACAGAACAGCGTCCAGAATTTGAATCGCGATCACACTACACATGTGGGGAGAGTGAAAATTCAAACTTCATTTCGAGCGTCAAGTGGTAATCTCCACGAACGATGTCAAGTTCCTTCACCTTGGGGATCGCCAACACCTTCAGTGCAATCCTTGCAACCATCCTTATGAGTTTTGTTGTTGTTCGTGGCCAATTAGCTCCTCGATATCGAGATGAAAAAAATTAATCCATGTAGTGATTATCAGCGTCAAATCCTGTTTGGAGCGGAAAAGCGTGGTCCGTTCTTGCTTTTTTTTTGGAGCGTCAACTCTCGCTTTTGCCGCTCTGGCGGCAAGTTACTATGGAGATTCGGATTATAATCCCAGGATTATTTCGATTTTGCCGCAGTCTGACCAGGCCCTAACTGAAGTAACGTCTTCTGCAAAGCTACGGGAATAAATATTTATTATTATCAAGTGCTAGTACAATGTAATGTACTGTATATGCTGTGTACCGTTCAGTCATGCTGATCAAAGAAAGTACACTACAGACAGTGCAGGGTGCCCACAGTGTAGCCTGGGTACACAGGGTGCACTGAGGAAAGTGAAGTAGCTGAGTCTGGCTTGCCCCGTCTCACTCGCGGCTCGGATCTTTGTGCAAGTGATTTTGTATTTTGTATTTATATTATATTTAAAAAAAAGGATTTCCCAAAGGCTTTGGGCCTGTCGAGGAGATCTCCTGCAAGAAGAATGAAATGACAACTTTATGTAGAGGGAGCAGTTAATCGAGGATAGGCTAAGGAAATAGATCGAGGCATACAAAATCTGGGAGTTGGTACACCGTCAGTGCAATTAATATATCGGCGAAAATGCTGATAGCTGCTGATAATGCTTGAATTCGGGGAGGCTGGTTATAGAGGTAGGAGAAGGCGGTAAGCAATACCATAGCATTGCAGCATCTATTTCAACCGAAGATATCTCAGGAACGCTTGGTCGCACCGAAGAGGGACCTTCACCATTCGACTCAGCGTCCAAAACTCTACGGACCATGAAATTTGTGATTTTGGGAAAAGTTCCCTTTGAAACAGTCTTGGATATTTGGTGCACAACTCGTCTCCATGTGGGTTTTTTTCTCTTTTTGCATTTATTGCTAGCTCAGTATCCGAGTTAAAACTTGACAATAATCTGCAAACATTGACAACTTCATTCATCATCTTCGGAAGCAGCCGTAGCGCTTCATTATAGACGTTTCGTTTTTAAACGTTGTTCAGCACTGCGACGGTACGTTTCACGTCGTTCCGCGAAGCTTTCAAGTCTTTTGCGTCGAAATGCACGTTCGTGACGTGGGCCGAGGCCGACTCACGATTGACGTCCACGGGAGTTTTTTTTCTCAATTTACCTTACGATTAGGTGGAGGTTGCCTGTCATTTTGTCAAAAAACTATAACACTTTGCTTCGGCAATTTAAAGCTCTGGAGATCTGTTTAATTTTCATCGTATCTACACTCTATCGAGATAGATGTCTGTAGTATTACCTATAGCCAATCAAGAGTCGCCTGTGCGCGTGCTAGTCTCCGGCGGGTTATGCCTGCGAAATCATGGAATTATGCTTTCATGAATTCTCGCATTGTGCTCGCAAAATCCTCATAATTTATGCTTTGGCATGCGGGGATACATATACACTTTGTTGTACTTATGGAGCCCCAAAGTTCGGAAAATCGTGCCTTCTTGGTACTTGCAAGTGGTCACAAGTACAACGAAATACATGAGTATCCCCATACCAAGGTGTGCATGCATGCTAGAGAGCAACCTGGAAAGGGGAAAACGTTACTTCTTCTATTCATTAGTTGGCTTCTTTTGCTTTGAAAGATTTTTTCATTGCCAAGTTAGTTTGAGTTACCTTTGAAAACTGTCTTCGTAAGCGTCATGCTCGTCCAACCGATGTCACCCTAACCCTGCGAATTCTCGTAATCAGCTTATTTCTCCCGCAGCTCCAGCTCTCCTTCCATCGTGGCCGAACATCAACTATACCTCAATTTGTTTAAATATTAGAGCAATATTCATAGCATGCACAGTCCAAGCTGGTAAGATGCAGACGTCACGACTTCGTAACAAGCAGAGCATAATGTGTATGTACGCGGAGTTTTGCGGACTACACGTCACTACTAGTATCTCGTCCGCCCCGGGATACCTTATAAAGACGGATTCACTCGCATATTCTGCTACATGTACTGTATCAGGGTGAGAAAGAACTTTGAAGAAGACGAGCTCGAGCACAAAAAAAATGTCTTGCCATTTGTATTGTATTGTATTTTACTATTTTACTTGGGCATTCCCAACAGACCCTAAGGTCTTCTTACAGGGTGCCCAAGATGAATGAAATTGTTTTAAGTTCCTGGCGAAATGAATTGGGGATAAGATTTGTGCGAAGGGATTCGGGAAGCACATTAAAGCGGTCAGCACCAAGGCATGAAATAGATCTGTATCCAGCTTGAGCTTGCACAATGGGTAAGGAAAGGGAATAATTGACTTGGCCGCGGGTTACTCTGTCTGTGTGAGCGCAGTCACGGCGAAGGGAGAATATGTCAGAGAGGAGTGAACTGCAGATATTGTGGATGCAACGGAACACGAAGAATACCCCCCCCCCCCTCCGCCCCCCCCCCCCCCAGCCATGATTTCTACCCTGTGTTTCATTGAAAACACTATCTGCATGACCTCCGAACCCTTTACCATGCTGACCACCATCATTGATCAGGTGCATTGTACACAATTGTGTCACCTACTTTCTCTATAGCTCTGATACAATCATGCAGTTATGCTCCTACCTCCGAAAGGATGCCAAATTATGCTTCAAATTTTCAACCACCAAATTATGCCAATAATTATGCTGGCATAATCCGCGGGTGCCTAGCGCGTGCTTGCGTCTGCGTCATTGGGTTTCCCAAGTCGCTCCGAAATGAGCGTCAAGACTTGCCATGATCAGGATATGTTTCCATTCGTGCTGGGAAAGCCTTCCACATTTGAGCCGAGCAGGAATGCCGTGCCTCGTTGATAGGGTAGTCAAAATCTGAATTTTGAGGTGGCGTAGCAACTTTGGTAGTTCCCAATTAGGAGGGAAAGGTTAAAGACGTCATCGACCAAAATAGTCGCCACTCAAAATCCGAGCTCTCCAAAAATCAGGTCTAGCTTTTTTGATCTTTCGCTTCTCATTGCGTTACCAGGGTAACACCGTGCTTTTTAAGAACTGCAAGAGAGCTCTTTGTAGTAATGGCCAGAAGCGCAAGACGGCCTGACCTCGTCCAAATGGAAATTCACTGCCCTACTCGTCCATTCTGGAGCTGTTTTTACAGATTATACACAAAACTGTAAGGCACCCACCAGCATTTATACCGACGTGGCAGGGAGATTGCACCAAAGTTGCTGGTCAGTATTGACCTACGATAAACTGACTCTCTTTGACCACCACATAATATATCTCCAACCCAGTCATCCATAGCAGAGAAACAGCCAATTTTAAACATATTGTTAAAAATTAATAATGTTGAAGGCCATATCACCTTGTAGGTTACGAATGAGGACACAATTACATCACAAACACAGACATAACATACATAGCGTATCCTGTAAGGATTGTGCTACATACAAAGAAACTTGGAAGAGGAGAGGGCAGAAATAGAGTGGGGAGGGGAGAAAAACTGGCACGGAAGGGAGGTAAAATGGAGAGGTCAATGTAGTGTAGATCAAGAAGCAGGAGAAAAAATATTCTGGCCACTTCGAGCGACTATAAGTTCCGCGTGACATACGGTCCGGGATCTGTTTAGTCTGCTCCCCAATTAAGGTTGCCAAGGCCACTGAAATACTTATGACCCGCCTCCAGAAACTTCTCTGGGTTAGCGTGGTACGTCCAATGCTCCACTAATCTTGCGATTTGATTCCAATTCTGCTCGCTATAATCCGTTCTGCACATGTAAAAATGCTTTTCCTGATTAGCCAAAAGACTGTGGCCGAGTTGGTTGACCCGGGACTTCGTATAAAAGGCCACGTCCGCCGTTCGGTACTGTACCCAGTTTCCGGCAACGGGAATGGAGCCGCCAGTTTCGGCAACAGTTTTGACATGCTCACGAATGCAGTCGAACCCATACCTGTAGTCCGCGTACTGCAGGATCTTTCCATTGTGATTTGCGCACATCTGTATTGCGTCATGATAGGTTCTCCTAGTCTGGTCAACAGTGAAAAAGATGACGGGTGAGTTCAGTCCATATCTGCTATACCGACAGTTGGTGCGTGGCACTGCAGACAAAGAAGCAACAAAATGCCAATAAACACGTGGATATTTCCGAGAGCTATTAAACGGGGAAAGATGTATCAGTTATTATCGATAGAAATAGCGTGTAGGCACGCATACAATGCCACCGTACCATACGCTTTTAGGGAGTAGTTCGAGTTGCTGCTGATGGCTCTGCTCTCCCTCCCCGTGCAGTTCAGTAATCCTCACATAGTGTCACAGTCGTTGCGTCGTTCAACAGCGAATGGCACCAGTCATAAGGCATGGTCCGTGACAGGGTGACTTTTGAAAATAATTTCTTGTTTTTCGGGACTTTTTTCCAATTATTTGAATGGAGCGGAATCAAGTTCACAATACTAGTTTTTCTTGAACATCAAAAAAAGTAGCTTCGAAAGGTGTGCCATTCAAATAATAGCTCCAGGAAATAATAAAGCAGTTTGTCTGTCACGCTTCTGAACTATCCCTTAATACCAAAAGTGACATCAGACCTTATCTTGCTAAAATTCAACTAAAGTCCTGTTAGCTATTCTGCGAGTTATCATGGGAAGCGCAGTATTCGAAATGCTAAAAAATTCCAAGTACGAATCGGGAGTAGTCGGCGCACGACGCCACCTCCTGTTCACACTCAAAATGCAGCTGTTTTGTACGCTTGCGTCCTCGTGTCCTCGTGTCCCCGTCTATGGTATGAAAGGTTGGATCGTTCCAACTCGTCCCGTCGCTTCCCGTCGATCCTTAGGTCGCGTCCCGTCGTGCCCCTTCGAATGTGAACTAGGCTTAATTGTTCCTCTAGTGTTGTGGTATGAGTGCGTACTCATTATTTCTATCCATTATAGGATTTTTGTCTCCTCGCCGACTTATTTGTTTAATATTGGCTTCAATTAATAAATAGTTAATACCCAATCTAGTTAATGACCACATCGTCAACAACACCAAAGTGGTACACTTTGCTTTGTGGATAAAAAGGAAAGGCGCAACAGTTTACGAGTTATGTCTAACTATACACCAAATAGACCAGATAAGGATTACACCGTGAGCAAGTGCGACAAGAAGGCACAGAACTGTCAAGAGGTGCAGACACACTCAACGACCTGACACCTACAGTCCATTCATTGGAAATTGGCATCCTAACTTTTTGGTGTCTCTGTCATATAGTTGTAGATAGCGTGAAAACAACAGTACATCCTGCATTGTGTGACCCGTGCAATTACTCCTTGCCACATTTGAGGCCAGAAAAGTCCAAGAACAGGGAAATAGAAATTCAGCCAGGTTTTACAAAATTAGGACAGGTATGCCATGGCAAAATGTATGGAGAAGCAGATCTAAAACCCAGATTTTTGAGATTTAAAGTGGGTTTTTGATCCTCAATTCGGCCCAAATCCGACTTTCAAAAGCCAACGGGCCAGTTTCCGATGAATGGACTGTAAATGTAGCTCCAGCACATCTACCATACACAAAACAACAACAAGTAGATCCTAACTCGTAAACAATTGTGTCCTTACTTTTCATCCATTATAGGCCATTCACACAACGTGTAAACACTTGAACGTGTGTGACCAAGATAACACTGGCAAACCGTGATCCAGTTCACACGCCATGTTGGATTGGTAAGGATCGGAATCAGGATCCAGATCTCAGAACTGTCGGATCCTTCAGATTCAATTGAACACTTTCTTTTGGACCTTGACTGCTGCAATGTTGATAATGGTGCTCACAAGGCACCCAAAAGGGTGAAAGTCGTACTCATCGTGTGCGTCGTACAAAAAGTCAACAAGTGTAATGGGTAGCCGAGTGGTAGGCGCGGTGTAATCAACAAGAATTACTTTTATTCTACTTTCAGGTACACACCTGAGATATAATCGTTAGTGAAAGAAGAAGCGGCAAAATAAATAACTTTCTCTCCGGTGCTCACCTAGAGGCTGAATCCTTATTCTTCGAGTTAGCTTTCATTGCTATCCAATCTAATCTAATCTAATTAAAACAGAAAAAGCGCAGCCGCTTTTATGCAGCAGACGACGTACGCTTACATACGGAGATACACTAAATATACATCAGGCAAGCTCCGTATTAGTTCCGTACTGCGTCCGTATTGGTCGGGCAGGGATACTACACCCTCCCTTCCTACAGATAATCACGCCCTCGTGATTCTCAAAAATTAGTGAAGAGTTATGAACAACAGCGTCACCCGGAAGATGGCAAATTATATCGGAAATGATAACGTTTAGAGTAGACAGAAGAAATGAACTGATAACAAATCATAAAGTAGAAGCACACCAGGTTCACACGATCTCACGGGGTCAAAAGGGGAAAGAACTGTCCTCCAAATAGGACCTGAAAATCCACAGCACTCTTGCTGCACAACGCTGGCACAACCCGCCAGGAACATCGCAGTTCAAAAACCGAACTGAATACACTATAACTATAAGGGGCGTTGTCACACACATTGTCCCACGTTAGCTGCGTAAGCCGTGGCTCACCATGATCAGACGCCTACCAAACTAAACTGGATTCACACACTCGCATAAAGGAAGACTGAAGAGAACAGGGAGACTGAAGGAAGACAGGAAAGAAAATGCCATACCTGGAATCAGCGTTAGTAACCACGGCGGCGGCTGGAGCTATGGCGGAGGGCGAGCCAGGTTTTATCTTCATCTTGGTTGAGCCGGTCACTCAGAGCGGCTAGCTCGGCGTCAGACAAATAACCTCCCTCCTCGTCTTGAATCATGGTCTTCACTTTGTCGAGAACATCGCTTTGCGCGACGTAAAGAGTGATGGTCTAGCCAGGAAGAGTGTTGACGAAAATCTGCATCCCACCACGGAGGCGAAGTACCAAGTGAAGAGTGGGCTCCTGCGTGCCGGCGAAAATCAAACGCTGCTGGTCTTGGGGAATACCCTCCTTGTCTTGGGCAGCAGCCTGCCTTTTGTCGTCCTCATCAGCTTCGCCATCACCACAGGTAGTATACATGTAGGTAGCGGGTCGCTTGGAATCGCCATCGGAGTCTCCAGTGAGTGCCGTGCGGAGAGAAGGGTGATCCACGCTAGCACCCTGACTGAGCTGCAAGCTAGTAAGCAGGGTCAGGCCCAGGAAGGCAAGAAACATGATTCTCATCTTGATTCGTCGCACGAAGCTGCAGCGGGTTGAGCCATGGGGGTCTGGGGTCGAATCACGTTGTTTTATTTTACAAAAACACACCGCTGCCACCAATGTAATGGGTAGCCGAGTGGTAGGCGCGGTGTAATCAACAAGAATTACTTTTATTCTACTTTCAGGTACACACCTGAGATATAATCGTTAGTGAAAGAAGAAGCGGCAAAATAAATAACTTTCTCTCCGGTGCTCACCTAGAGGCTGAATCCTTATTCTTCGAGTTAGCTTTCATTGCTATCCAATCTAATCTAATCTAATTAAAACAGAAAAAGCGCAGCCGCTTTTATGCAGCAGACGACGTACGCTTACATACGGAGATACACTAAATATACATCAGGCAAGCTCCGTATTAGTTCCGTACTGCGTCCGTATTGGTCGGGCAGGGATACTACACAAGCTCTATCTCCATCCATGTGTGCATACCACAATGTGTACCAAAATGATTTTTACCCGCCATATACGCACAAAGGTCACGTTTGGATTCGTTGGATCCGGTCAACCCTGCTCCCCGAGGTGGTTGACCGGATCCAAATCCGAAGGATCCGGATCCAGATTCGACCAATCGAAAGGGTGCGAATCCAGTGGATCCGGTGGATCGGGATCCCGATCCTACCAATCGAACATGCCCCTAGTCTCTGTTCAGCGCTTGACCTGTAATAGCTTTTTAGCGCCATTTGTCTTCTTTACGCTGTCCGTCCATTTGACTGCTGGTTGTCCTCTCTTCCTTTCTCCCCGACATCATGTCCTCCGCTAGAGGATGAACTACTGGTGCTGAAAGTGAGGCTTATACGCCGGAAAGTAAGTCATGCAAGCGAATCTGTAAATTGGCTGTGTAAAAGTACAACACCACTCTTGACAAGCGGGTCACTACAAGGACAGCTTCAGACTTGTTTGTCTGTGTTTATTTTACTTCCTGGTGATGTTTGCGCCTGGAGAGCACTATATAACTCTTCAGGCACAATCTTCCTCAGCCTACTCAAGTTCGACTGATGAGGTGTGAACTCCCCAAAACACTGTGTATTAAGCAGGGAGTGGTACCTTCTTGCAGGTTTGCTGAATGGAAGGTTCGATTCCCCTGTGCTTTGGATGGCAGTCGTGACTCGTGAGTCAGTCAAGTGAGAATAAAAGTCGGCAGGAATAGCCCAAGCCCCCACGTAGGGAGCAACACACAATTCCCCTATTTAACTTCCCACACTAAACGGGCACTTACATTTGTGAATGGAGCAGACGGAGTGTAGGTAGGATTGGCTGTCGACATTCTCCTTGTCCGAGTTTAAAAACCTGCTCCCTCCACTGAAGAATACTCTGGTGTACCAGGCTTTGCTGGGCCAAAGAATATCAGCATAGGTGTGTGTAATGCCTCTATCCCTATTCAAGTCTGCATTGGCCATCTCAATCAAGCGTTTGGTGCAGTCAAGGTCCTGCTCAGCGGGTAAGCTTGCCCGTTTGTCAACGCAGTTCGTGCGGGCCCAGGGAAACCTAAATCCTGGAATAATTTGTCTGTCTTTGAATACAGTGCTGAGGTGAAGCTCTCGCCCAGACTCTCTGCACATGTACTGAATCCTACCCCCTTTGCCTTTAGATCCTGCAGAAGAGCAGAAGCATGTGCACAAGCCAATAAAAACCTGCATGCAATTGTAAGCCAACATGGTGAATCCCACATCAATCATGTGGCCCAACCAGGAAAATTGTTTTCTTGGTTTTCCTGGTTTCCGAATAGCCGTTTAAAAGTAGTTCCTGGCCAGTGTCTGTCACTTTCTTTTGGTTTACAATTTTCCTGGTAACAGCCACCGAATTGTTGTTTTTTTGAAAGAATTTGTAGCCGAGAGACCGTTTTGAGTAGTGGTGTATAACTTTGTGAATTTCTAAAGTCCCGAGATTTTACTGTGCCTTTTTACTGGCAAGGGAGAATTTCTGCACTATGAATTAAAAACCTACCGTATTTCCCCGTAAGTTAGTTCTCCCCAATGACTTAGTACCCCCTATAAAAAATACACTTTCCACTGCCGAGGTTATCACCCCGAAAGACAGTTCCCCCCGAAAGATAGTAAGTTCGTACCCGTCCTACATGTACAGACACCGTACAGTACATACATCATATGCACGGACACTAGAGTTACGCAGGCTTCCCACTGCGTGTCATTTACCCCCGATAAAAAAAGTACTCCCCGAAAGATAGTACCACCCCCGAAAGTTAGTACTCATGTGGCTGCTAAGCTCGAAAGTTAGTACGTACTAACTTACGGGGAAATACGGTAGTACGTGCGTTGATGTCCTTTTCCACGTTTATTTATTTTTTTTTTTCATGGTATTGGAACGTCAACAACAATAATCAGTCGGCAACAGCCTGTTATAAGCGGATTGCTGGGCTCCTGTCCCACAAGACGAAGGAGCCGTACAACCGTGTAATGGCGTGGATTCGCTGCCGACTTGGCTTTGCTCTGGTTCGCTCCAGCATGGTTTGTTTGCGTGGTGCTCGGCGACGCCCCATGCGCGTCAGCGATGTGGCGGATGTATCTGCTACCTTGGCCGTTGCTGAGACCCGCTGCCCTGTGTAAATGACTGCAAGTGGTTCCTAAATCAGTTCCTCATCCTCATTGTTGCTTCTTTTTTTCCCCTCTAGTTTTCTTTTACGGTATTATAATTTCACGGAGAAGGCGGAGACGTCAGGCGAAATAGCACGTCATAGTACATTCGAGATCAGCGGGAAGAAGATGACGACGTCCACTAATTTAGTATCTGTGCACACGAATCTGCTGTGTGTGTTACTCTGTGTGCCAGCTATGGCATCATCGCCTGTGGTTCCATGCCTAGCATGTACGTCTGAACCATCCTGCAAAGTTTGAACGACGTAGGTTGAGCGATCGCTCCGCGAAACATACTTTTTGAAATTCTCTTCATAGTACATGTATATCTTCCACCATTGAAATTTCGAATTTCTTCGAATTTTTTTGCTGAGAGGGGTGGCTTGCAACCTCGATATGGCTTGTTCCAGGCATGCTTTGGAGCCATCGCCTGTTGAAGTAGTGGCGGGGATCTGCCCTGCAACTGCTACAACAAAAAATGATTCGATCTGAGAAAGGGTGAGACAGCGAATCTCGGTTGAATATTGAATATTTCAAGCCTTTTCACGACGAAGATGGAGTTCTTTTTGGAGATGGCCGTCGCGGCAAAGGACATGGTGTCCGACTTCTGGCGTCCGGTGAAGCCAGGGATCATTTGTCCAGTCAGGTCGGCAGCCTAACCGTCGGTAAGTTTGTGTTTGGATCCCGTTCTGCTCGATGTGGTAGATCACAAACAATTTTATCGCACAAATTGATCTCAGCGTCGTGCATACGGTATTTTATATTCAGAGAATCCCAAAGTGTCTCTGTGTGGCCGTCCTATGCCACGAGAAGCTCCAATCAGGCTCCTATGTCCTCTGCCTTCATGATTGAATGTCCACTTCGTTTGAACAACGAACACAACAATCGAGGACGGCTTTGCAATGAAAAATACAGCTATACTGGAGCTGAAAAAAGAAGAAAAAAAACGTGCTCAGGATGAGACTCGAGTACACGCATACTCTCCCAGCAGGTGAAACGCAATTTTTTTGTGAAAAATGCGTGTCGCCGACTGACCAGTAATTTCGCCTGACGGCCCGAACGTGTGCAGTTTTATGTTTATTATTTGCCATGGCGACCCCCGTAAGTCCAAATAACTGGCAGGGCAGGGTTGGGCCTTTTTCTTTCTTCTCGGATTTATTTTCATGACATGCTCACTGATTATTGTTGTTTTGTTTTTTCCACGTTTACACACGAGGTTCATTTCTTAATCAAACGTTTCGGAGAAAACAGCTTTAATATTTTATAGCAGCGCGAAGGACCATTTTCGCTGGAAGCATTTCCTAGACGTCGACATGCTTGAGCAAAATGTTAAACAATGAGCGGTTATTAATTTTATTAATTTAAGTGCGATATTCCGTGACTTGATAAAGTCTACAAGAGTAACATTGAAAATTAAAATTAATACATGTAGTGTCACTATAGCAGATCCGAAGACTGTGAACAAGCGCAGGGCACACACACGCACACACACACACCCGCACACACACACACGCACGTACACACACACACACACACACGGACACACACACACGTACACACACAGTTCCTTTGAATTTTTGAGCCAATTTGTGAGCGAGTTTGCCAGCCAGTGTTGCCTCCTACACATAGTATGCTTTCACATGGGCTGCTTTTCTATGGTCGAAGACACTTCGATGGCTTTGCCAAATAATTGCATCCTGAAGCTGTTCGTGACCATGTCGTTTTGGCAGTGTCTCATGGTTAGAGTACTTCAGTTTATAGTACATTGTCATTGCGTAGAGGATGACCAAAAGTGAACTAAGGTCATTAAAACCAATTGAAGCAATGTCGCACCTCAAACCTTCAAAACGGCATCGACCAGGGATAAGTAAAATAGCAGTACCTGCTTTGTGCTTAATGCAAAACAGTGGAATATTTGATTACAAAACTTCAGATTTACTAAGAAGCCATCCGTAAAATTTATAGATATTTATTTAACAAAAGATATTTGAAACTCAGATGTTGAGCCATAAATAAATGTAGAAAGGAAAAGGACATATGGATACGAGTTAAGAGTAACTCTCCATCACTGTAACTGGATACTATATACAGATAAAAAAAAGATTAAAAAAAATTATTTAACAAAAGATATTTATTTAGAAACGAAAACTAGTCGTTTAGGGGAGGGGGTTGAGCGCCTGTTCGTTTCTCGAAAAATATCGATGTACATTTTGCATGCGTGAGCATGTCCAGAAAAAAAAGACCAAAATATTGATACTACATGTATGTAGCATTTGTATGTGTTCGTTTCTCAGGGAAGGGAGGGGTTGAAGAGAAACGACTAGTTTTCGCTTTTAAATAACTATCGCTTTTTACGGAAGGCCCCTAACTATGTTTCGTATTAATTATCACGGTGGCTACAGAGCCTTGAAGGTCTAAGTGAATTTAGTGACGGATTTTATGGATAGAGTTGGTTGCCCCAACGAGTAACACAGGCTTTCTGGCGAACGTGACACTTGATTGACTCACAGCAGGCATCCAGAGCACACCAGGGGGACTATGACTCACACTGATACCTGGGACCTCAGGAGGTGTTTGTGGCGCTGGAAACGGAGCGTCTCTGCAAATTTGTATCCATGGTGATGGTTTTGCGGGAGAGCCCTATAAAAGTTGTGCTATTGAGTTTTCAGGCAGAATCTTCCTCCAGCCTACTCAAGCTCAACTGATGAGGAGTGAATTCCCCAAAACACTGGGTATTGAGCAGAGAGTGGTGCTTTCCTGCAGGTTTTCAGAGTCACGAGAAGGTGCGACATGCTCCTAGTGTGCAGTCGTGCATCAGTCAAGTGTCAAGTTCGGCAGGAAGCGTTTGTTTCTCCTTGGACCAACCAACTACATTACCTATAGTAGCCTAAGGAAGCGTATTTCGTGTTCGAGAAGAACATTGGCGTTACTGCAAAGTTATGTAAATAAGGTGCAGATGCCAGTTAGAAAATTGACAATACAAGTATTCAAATGTTTGTAATTCAAGTGACCGTGAAACACATTAATTTTTACGAGAAACGTTTTGGCCTAGCTGCATTAGTACATTACACCCGCCTACCCTCTGGGCGCCATTTTCATGATGCAATGCCCCTTACCACAGTGGTTCACGAAATGTTATCAACACAAACGCTCTTCTTTGCACTGGATTGAACAGGAACAAATGTTGCTTTGCCCACTACAGATTCATGCTTTTTTTAAGGATACTGTAAAACACGACATTTTCGGTGTATTAAACTTTAATTTCGGTGATTTCGGTAGAGAAAACAAGCACCTAAATTTAGATTATACCTATAAGGCACCAGAGTATGCACGGTATGTGCAGGGAATGCTGGTCACCTAATTCTAAATTACACCTGAAACCTGGCAGGTCCCTGACACCGAAATTTTAAAACACCTGAAATTACGTCAACTTGAAATTCTGTCTAGAGAGCACCCATGGTGGAGTGTCACACTCTCAGTGTGGGGGATTCTTTACTCTTGCTGGCAGTGGAGACAGGAGACATCCTTTTTCAGGTAGAAAGTGTCCCTGCCAGATTCATGCTTTTTTTAAGGATACTGTAAAACACGACATTTTCGGTGTATTAAACTTTAATTTCGGTGATTTCGGTAGAGAAAACAAGCACCTAAATTTAGATTATACCTATAAGGCACCAGAGTATGCACGGTATGTGCAGGGAATGCTGGTCACCTAATTCTAAATTACACCTGAAACCTGGCAGGTCCCTGACACCGAAATTTTAAAACACCTGAAATTACGTCAACTTGAAATTCTGTCTAGAGAGCACCCATGGTGGAGTGTCACACTCTCAGTGTGGGGGATTCTTTACTCTTGCTGGCAGTGGAGACAGGAGACATCCTTTTTCAGGTAGAAAGTGTCCCTGCCAGATTGAGCGGCATGAAATTAATAAAATATTCAAAAACCCACCCTTACCGAAGTACTGGCTGCATTTTGCGTCTGCTTTCTGACGCATAGACTCCGTTGGAAGGAATAGACGGTTAGCGCATAACTTTTCCACGAACTCATCTGACCATACTCGGACTACCAACGGGGGAAATACCCGAGTGTCATCCAGTTGCGATAAGGACAAACTTTTGCTGATTGCTGTCGTCCAGTTTGCAATAATAACAGCCTTGTCACTAGCGCTATAGCAGTTGCAGTACTCCAGTGAGGCTAGCATTGCCATTACAAACAGTAGAACACCCTTCATCTATTTGAAACAGACACAGACACAGGACAAGACTCTTGAGCATGCATACCGCAAAAAGAGATCAGTAGACATCTGTAGCATGTCTCTCAAATGACCATACAGAGCAGCCATGTGGTTCCCACTCCACTCAAACCATGAATCTATGCAGTCACAGGAGTGCCAATGCCAATGGTCTAGTACATTGTCTGGGATTGCATGTTATCTTGGACTTGGAGGCGGCATAGAAAACACTGGATAGACGCATAGGACATGACAGGGTCGTAAGCTTTCTAGTCGGCCTCGTGCTAAATGTGTGTTGGGCTGTTCTGGTGCAAGTCAAAACAAGTAATGTGTCAGAAATGGACCAGCATACGACAAAAATAATAATATCGCCAGTGTTTCGCTTCATTATTATTATTCTGTCTCCTTTATTCACTTACTATCACGTAATCTATCTAGACTTACAATGCATTAATCAATGCATTAATCTGTCGCTTCTGGATGCTGTGCAATCTGCTTCTGATAGAGCTGCTTGGCTCGAAATTGTTAACAGATGCGTTGCCCTCATGCAATGAGTGATATGCGAACTGTCATTATTATTATTATTATTATTATTATTATTATTTGTAAGAAATGGTTTGCTCCCCACACCGGAGCTCGCGCTATTCCGCCGACTTTACTTGACTTTACTTGACTTTACTTGAAGTCGCAACCACTACTTCGTATTATTATTATTATTATTATTTTGTCTCTTTCCCTCAAACCAGTTAATATTATTATTTATTCACTTCTTTCGAAGGCGATAAGCCAGCCCCGCCGGGAAGATAATTCCATGGGTGGTACATCAAAAAGAAAGTGAAAAAATGTAAAGCTAACAACCACGCAATATATTTCACCTTTCACTGTCTTCAAGTCCAAGAGGACCAAACAAACTTTAACATCAATTATCACGGTGTGCGTTTTTCTTCCCTCTTTTCCAACAACGCTGCAATGCTATGGAATTGCCTGCCGCCTTATCTTACCTCTATAACCAGCCTCCCCGAATTCAAGTATTCTCTCTATCAGCATTTTCGCCGATATATTCATTACACTGACGGTATCCCAACTCCTTAATTACCATATTTTGTATGCCTCGATCTATTTCCTTAGCCTATCCTCGATTAACTGCTCCCTCTACATTAAGTTGTCATTTCATTCTTCCTGCAGGAGATCCCCTCGACAGCCCCAAAGCCTTTGGGAAATCCTTAAATATAATAAAGTACAAAATATGCCTATCGAGGGATTCATTTGATTGAAAGAGCAGCACTACAGTATGTTCAAAGACAGGTATCGCTTTCACAGTGTTCCGAAAAGCTGTGATCCCCTAAACACGATTTCAGCTAAGCACTCTGCTTACCTTGACGGGCTTTCAAATTGCGTTCTTCAACTCCTTATCCGTGTCACCCTGTTCCAACAAGATACATACAGATACATGTATATTATTCACCTACTGGTACTGGACTAGCAAAACGAAAGATCACAAATCACGAATCCCTTACACTGCACGCGAGGGAGCAATATCTAACTTCCGTCGATGATGAATTACTTTGAACTGATACCAGGATACTGCTGCTTCGCAAAGTGTTAATTTTATTGCAAGGGCGCTTGTCGGACGCCGTACCTGATTTCCAGGATGCAGTCAGACAGGGCATACTTCGCGCGTCGAAACCATTGCGCAATGTCGTAATTTGTGCCATAAACACCCTTCACAGCCACACACATGTACGTACCTGGGTATGCATAATAATGGTCGTCTGGGCTGTATCCCTTATGCGCCGGTTTGTACTAGTTGTACAGATGCACGAAATCCCGTAGAATCCCGTAGACCTTTTTGGGTGTCCATTGTGTTTTATGCATGCGCATTTGACTAATTTTAGCCTTTTATGGCAAGCAATCGCTTTTCCAGCTTCTTCACCTTGGTTAGAACTACAGACTGTAGCTACATCTTGGTCAGAAAAAGGTTTTCGTGTGAAATGCCTTCAGGGCCCATTTACATGTATTAGTGGAAATAGCAGAAAACACGGTCCTGCACATTCAACACCCAACCGGGTCTACGGGATTCTACGGGATTTCGTGGCTCTGTACAACTGGCATAAGGTTTGTACTACGGTATTGGCGCATACATGCGGCCTGTGGGTGAGCCTCCATACACGGTATGTTGTGAATCAGAAAACGTCTGTACGTGGGTCACTGAGTATCACGTGGTACACACACGCAAAGTACACACGGATTACGGGGGACTAAACCTCCCTACGGACAGTTTGCATTACTATACATTCAAAGGTCTGGATTTTGTATTGTTCTTGTCTGATGTTGTATTGGATTCGTTCCATGTTTGGGTATTTCGCCTAGTTTTCTTCCGTAGCCTACAGAAGAAAACTAGGCGAAATGCCCAAACATGGAACGAATCCAATACTAGTACAACATCAGACAAGATACTTTTTTCATTCAAAAGAGAAGTTACCCCGATCATAGTATCATCAATTTGCACATGCTCCAAGTCCAACCCCCGCTGTAGCCCAGCCTAGGTATAGTATTTTAATCAAGGTCTATCGCCTACCTGCCTTCGCAATGGATATACTTCTTTCCTCGTCTTTAATGAAGCACCCAAACCACGACTGCCCCTAGCCACTGTTTCTCCCGGTTTATTGCACCCACTCTGATTGATAACACATAGTACTGTCTCTCTCTCTCTCTCTCTCTTATTGGCTACGGCCATTGTGAGAATAAAGATAATAATATAAAAGATAGGCTACGGTGGCGCTGATCGTAGATGGTGGCCCTACGTATTCGCTATACTGTACAAGCAGAAAAAATTCGTCTGGAATTTAATTTCGTCTTTTTCGGCCAAGGAGCTTTTGGGGTGTAGATCGACATTCCAAAGCCCGCGCAAAATCTTTTGAAGGGAACCATGAAATTGGCATACCCCTCAATATTGGCCCAATATTGGCATGATTTATGGGTCTACGAACGAGCCACGGCACAGCGTACAAGAACAAGCTACGAACAAAACTCCATCAAGCCAACATTACCTCACCTTAGAAGAGTTATTGGGGCAGCACCACTTAGCCACGCCAGCATCCCAGAAGACGAGGGCAATCATCCCTTGACGCCACAAATGATCGTTTTGAAAATAGCCAAATTACAAGCGCTGATAAAACAGCGAGCTACGTCCTCAATTAGCAAACACTATACACCGGCAGATAGTAGAACACCTCTTCTAGCACTGAGGACATGTCCCCCATCATCCTTTTTGGGTTTTCTTGAAATAAACAATTTTGAATTTTTCCACTCGACCATTCTGAAATACGTCCAAACTCATACCTGCGCAGGAAAGCTCGCCCCTCCGCGACGTCTAGTCAGCAATTTCTACTCCAACAGCACTCCCAACGCTGCAGAATGAAGTGTATTGTTGACTCTGACAAGGAAAAGCAGTGGTGATCACTCGTCACTCCAAGCGACAAGCTTCTCCTTGCGCCACCAACATTTTTCGGTGCAACAAATGATGCAAAAGTGACTGAATTTTTGCGTGTAGTTTTAGGATTTTACTGCATACTACTGGCTTAATGTTCTAGTCCTGGGCCCTTCCCCTATACACAATTTATAAAATTGCTTCCAAACTGCCTTGGATTCCGTCTAAAAAGTAAAAATTTACGAAATGTGATTGAGTTGGTGGACAAGCCGTTGATTATTCACTTTCATTGTAATATCAAAAAAGTAATCTTTCTAGACTAAAGAGTGGTATATTTGAAAAAAATTTAATAACGATAGAAGTATTTACGATACTTCTCCAGACGTTTCGTTGTTCTGAACAACATCGTCCGTGGATAAAGAAATGTGATTGCCGAAAAGTAAAATTTCACACAAAACCTCACAATGATTACACACAGGATGAAAAGCGAGAAGATCTTTCCCCTCGTGATCCTCATTACCATGCATACAATCATGTTTGTGCCGTACAAGTACAAGTGTCAGACTAACAAGTGTTGAAAGCAGTACTAGTATTTGATTGTTAAGTGTTGTGATTATTGTTAGGTTTTGTGTGAAATTTTAATTTTCGGCAATCACATTTCGTTAATTTCTTACTTTTTAGACGGAGTCCAAGCAATTATATAAATTGTCTACAGGGCAATTAGGGGAAGGGCCCAGGACTAGAACACAATAACTTTTTTTAGAAAGCTGCCATAAAGCAGTTTTTTTATTGCTACAAGTACGAGTACGCCCATATGCACAGGCGAGACTACCCCATATTTGCATAAAGCCTGATTCATACATGTATATGTACTTCACCTCGCGTACGGGAAACCCATCGCGCGACCGTCTCGAAATAGTTGGTACGCTTGCCAACGGCCAAAGAGAGTTGGAAAGCTTGTGTCTTTGTAGGTAACTTGAACATTTGGGCTCATGCAATTTTTGCGATTTCCCCTCGACTTTTTGCTTCAGCAAAAATGTTGTGCTGGACCGCATTCCTGTAACTTCACAGTGGCTTTTCGTTGGTGCAGTTTGTATCCTACCCTCCCACCCCTGACTTCTGGGTGTGTGTTTATCGATATATCTTATTGGTTTTCTTATTGGCCAGGTGGCTGTTGCAGTTACGACTGCTTTTCTTTTTGGGTTAAAAAACGTAGGGGTGGTGTGTGCGTCGTGGGCCATTGTATGGTTATATACAGCTTCAGATTGTATGGCTAGTGACAGGGGGGTTGAGTCTGCAGGGGAAGAATACAGTGATTGAACTGAAGCTGGATGATGACCATGTGGTGAGTGTGTGGGGGTTTCGGGATGCCGTCCTGGGGCAGGAATGTCGGTGCTTTAGCTTGGACGGGTGTTGTTACATTCATTGCAACATGTCGTTTTCTGTGTGTTTTGCTGTGCGACTACAGTAGCAGCAGTGCATTGTGCTTATTTTTTCTTGTCAGGCCCTATGCATACAATTATTCCAAAAAAAATCAGGAAGGAGATATAATAATATCAATAATAAAGCCATTGCCGAGCCACCGTGCTCACAGCAGAGACTTCTGCGTGTGTTATTGTTGTGAAAGTGGACCACAAAGACGAGCTCAGATCAACTTTTTCGCGACGCGACGCATTTCCCGTATGCGACATGAAGTATGAATCGGCCTTAACTTAAGGTGACTGGGGCGGTACAACTTTTTGGGGAATTTTTTGACTGCATTTTTGAGTTTATCCGCAAGGCAGAGATGAAATTTGAAAATGTTTTCTGGTGAATATCTGGAGAATAGCCTTCTCTAGCTTCCTATAGTTTTATTTTTACTTTTGGACAAAAATTGAAAACGTTTTATGAAAGGTTCGTGTTATATTTTCACGGACCTTTCATAAAACTTTTTCAAATTTTGTCCAAAAGCAAAAATAAAACTATAGGAAGCTAGAGAAGGCTCTTCTCCAGAGATTCACCAGAAAACATTTTCAAATTTTATCTCCACCTTGCCAATAAACTCAAAAATGCAGTCAAAATGTGATCAAAAAGACCCCTAAAAAGTTGTACCGCCCCAGCCACCTTAAGGTGGCTGGGGCGGTACAACTTATTAGGGGTCATTTTGATTACATTCATTTTGACTGCATTTTTAAGTTTATCGACAAGGTGGAGATGAAATTTGAAAATGTTTTCTGGTGAATCTCTGGTAGGCCTGGGAACGTTATACGGAAAGTATGGTACTGGGGGAAAGGAATAACCTCTCGGCGGCGGCGATATCATGCGACTGGAACAAAATAAGAAAAAAATAATAATAATAATAATAGGTTATAAGCGGGTTCCTAGAGCGGGTTCCTAAAGACCATTACGGAGCGTCCCGAAGCCACAATCCGGCTCCCTCGGTCAGCGATACCCTTTGTGGCTGACCTCCGTGGAAGTGAAGCGCCTGACGCCGCTCTGCTTGATCGAGTCTGCACCGGCCTAGTTGCCACTCGTACGTCGCGAACTCGGATGGCAACTCCAAGTGCAGATATTGGCAAGATAACGACGTACCTAGCTTCTATAGGCGCGCCGCATGAGATGACAGTGAGTTAACTCCGACTAAAAGTTCTGCTGCTGCCGTCCTTGGCTGCGTTCTGCCGACCTTCCGACTTAGCATGTGTGCCCAAACCGACGCTTCGTGAAGGGCAGGATGGAGACTCCTGCGCGCGGTTCCGCCTGGACAGTATCACATGGACCAGTGATGGAAATGAGATCGTGCTGTCCGGGTCCAAAGCCGACCAAGGTATGTCAGCTATCCACGCGATAGTCGAATACGCCTCCTGCGACGAGATGTGTCCAGTCAGAGCACTGGAAGCGTACATTCAGCCAACAGCAGAAGCTAGGCTGACAGTTAAAGACCAGCCAATATTCTTGTCTCGGCGGGCGCCTTATAAGGGATTACCTCCGGTATCTATCACTCGCATTCTGACGCAAGCCATGAAGGATTCCGGTCAGGAGAACAGAATAACCACCAGGACGCTACGATCGACGGGAGCTGGGAAGGCTATAAGTATAAGCAACAACATCGAACCATCCGTTGAACAGCGCCGAGGTAGATGGAGGAGCACTGATGTGATCAACAGGC